CTTAAAACTTGTTACTACATTAAGCAAAGGTAATTTCAATAATGTAAAAAATAGCTTCTGGTATTCTTGTGATCACAATACACTTGGCAACTTTCATGTGTAACTTTTTTCTCCAATGTTTTTCCTCCATTGAATTTTCCTTCCTTGAATTTATATGCTTTTATTTCAGTAAGACCAGTAGTATTGATATTGTAGCCAAATAATTGTGAGTGATTCAATAATCTGGTGTTTAGAATGATATCCATTAGTTGTCAGTCTTCATGTTATAGTATATCATAGCCCTTTCCAACACCTTCCGAAATGGATAAAGAACATAAAGCCCTCATTCTCAGAAAGAAACTGTAGAGGTATAAACAGTACAAAATGGGAGAAGTAAAATGTGGTCGTACATGCTTATTTTTTACCTGTGTGGTACATTCTTTTCCTTTCCAATCTTTCCCTTCTATTGTTCTTTCAATCTGTCCATTACGAAGTTTTACTATTTGTTACAGTTTGTCATATTAGCATCTGCAATACATCTGCATAGCATTCCTGATTGTGAGCCAGATCCCTACATAATGAACACTGAAAAAAATAGATATTAAAAATATGCCCATCTAAGCTATCACACAGTTTGGATATAAAACTGTATCTCATTTATAATATAGTGAATTAGAAAATGGCCTACTTTATCTGTCATTCTGGTCTGTAACACTCAGTACTATAGTCTGTAATCCCGCTATTACTTCTATCCAGTTTTCTACCTTCTATCCTTTTTCTACCTCTAAGTAATATAATTTCATTTTCGTGTTTTAACTGGAAGTTTCACTTCTGGATGAAGAGCTTACTGATTGAATCTTGTAGTCCTTTGCTTGATAACAAGGATGTGAAAAGAATTTTAAATGGAGAAACTTTAGCATTTCCATGATAGTATAGAAATTAACTTCAAGAATGAGAAGAAAAAAAAAAAAAAAGAAAACAAAAAATGAAAACAATAGCAACAACAAAAACAGGAGCTTTGAATATCATTGATGCTGTGCTTGAGCCCTAGATCAATGAAAGCAATTTTGTGTATTGTTTTTGGTATCAAGGGGCTGCAGCGGTGGCCCCTGTGAGCAGAGCCCAGAAGCTGTCCCATGTCAGACCAGAGCCAGCTCCAGCTGTTCTAAAGGGACCTATTGTTGGCCAGAGTTGAGCCATCAGCAATAGTTGTTGTGCCTCTGTGACAGCAGGAAAGAAAAGCTGTTGCACAACAGTGGCTGGGAGAGAAGAATAATATATGTGAGAGAAATAGTCCTGTAGTCACCAAGGTCAGTACAGAAAGAGAGCAGAAGGTGTTCCAGGTACAGAGTAGAAGTTCCCTACAGGCTGTGGAGGGGCCCGTGGTGGAGCTGGCAGTCCACCTGCAGTGCATGGACACTATACAGAACAGATTTCCATGTGGAAATCTGTGGAAATTTCCAGATTTCCATGGAGGTGCCCAGAGTGCAGCTGGTAGATGTGGCCCAAAACAGGCTGCAGCCCATGGGGAGTCCTTGGAGATGCAGGACCCAGGCTGGAGCTGCAGCCTGTGAAGAGGAGCCTGTGGTAGAGTAGATGGCCTGGGAGAGCTGCTGTCCATGGTGACCATCACTGGAGACATCCACTCTTGAAGGATGACCCCTTGGAGACCTGCAGCCTGTGGAAAGCCCATTCAGGATCAGTTTAGGAAGGACGGCATCCTGTGGGAGGGACCCCATGCCGGAGTTGGATCAGAGGATAACCATGAAGGAGTGGCAGAGATTAAGTGCTAGGGACTGACCTCAGGCACCATTCCACTGTGCCACTCAGGGAAAGATAGAAAAAGTTGGTTCTTTCTGTTCGAGTCTGCTATCAACAGGCAATAAATAACATTAATCTCCATCTACAGAATCTGTATAACCCATTCTGGTAACTGCTCCCTGTTCTTATCTCAACCCATGAACCTTTTTTTTATTCAGATTTATTCCCTATCATTTTGAGAAGGGAGAACAGCATGTTGGATCTTATCTACACATAGAATCATTGAATGGCTTGGGTTGTAAGGGACCTCAAGGACCTTCCAGACTGCAATCGCACACTGCTGACTCATGTTAAGATTTTCATCAACAAGAACCTCTAAATCCTTTTCAGAACTCTTAAGGAGTTCAGAATCTTAAGGAGTTCTTCTTCCAGTTCGTATACATATCTGGGATTACCTCAACCTGAGTGAAAAACCCTTTGCTTTGCTTTGTTAAACTTTATTAGGTTCACAAGGGCCCACCTTTTGAGTTTATCAAGGTTCCTCTGAATGTCATCCCTTCCTTCTGCTGTATCAACCACACTGCTCAGCTTGGTGTCATCAACAAACTTTCTGAAGATGTACACAATACCATTGTCTATGTCATTGATAAATATGCTGAAGAGTACCAGATCTAAGGCAGAACCATAGGGGACACCACTCATCTATTCCACTTGGACATAGAGCCATAGGCCACAATCATCTGGCTGCGATCTTGAAACCAATTCCTTATCCACCCCATAGTTCACCCTTCAAATCCATATCTCTCCAATTTAGAGATTAGGATGCAGTGGGAGACTGCTTCAAAGGCCTTGCAGAAATCCAGGTAGATGACATCGGTTACCTTCCCTTTGACCGATGCTGTCACTCCATTATATAAGGCCACCAGATTGGTCAGAGATGAACTTCCCTTGATGAACCACGCTGGCCATCTCAGATCACCCTCTCATCTCTCAAGTGCCTTAACATGTTTTCCAGGAGGATCTGTTCCATGATCTTCCCAGGCACACAGGTCCAATCACATTGGACAGCTCACTTAGGGCCCTGGAACGGATACCATCTGGCCCCATGGACTTGTTTGTATACATTCTGTCTCATGAGCAGGTCTTCGACTTGCTCCACTTTTACAGTGGGGAGAAGTTTGCTCCCCCAGTTCCCACCTAGAGCTTTGGGTTCAGGGATGTGAGGTTCAGGGATGTGAGAATCCTGGCTTCTAGTGAAGACTGAAACAAAGTATTTATTGAGTACCTCAGCCTTTTCTGTATCTGTTGTAATGATTCTCTTTTCTCATTTAGCAGGGGAGATACACACTCTTTGGCCTGTCTCTTCTGATCTACGTAGGTGATATGTGCTTGCTTTCACTGCCTGCACTTGTCCTTCTTTTCCCTCAGTTTGTCCAGCAGCACCTTGAAAAGCCATTCTAGTTTCGTGTCTCCCCTTCCTGTTTTCTTATTCTGAGGGAATAAGAATATCTCTAAGAATACCCATCAGGAAGCTACCACATTCCATTATTAGCTGTTGGAAAGACGTTTATCGTACATAATTTGTATTAAGCAATCTTTTGAAGGACAGGACAGCATATTTTCATATATGATAGATCATATTGCAACGTGAAAATGCTGTTGCATCATTTACATGCCATGTTCTTTTAGCTCAGAACAATTAGTTCCATGATAGTCAATTCACAGAAACCAAAATGACCAATTTAAATCCCAGATTCTATTACCATACCCTTTGCATTAGTGGTAGACTGAATGGTCATACTGTGTGGCATATTAACAACAAATAAAAACCTTCAGCAATCATGAATTTTTCTCATTACTGTATTTTCAAAGGTTGTATTTTATATGATCTCTAACAATCAAAATCACTTAACAAAGTACATGTTTTAGAGATTTTTAGGGTTCTTTTCATTTGTTCTTATCTACTTAACACATCTGATCATATTTGTTTACTCTCTCCATCTCCGGAATTTTCTTTAAAGGTTTGTCTGAATCTCTCACCACACCTCTGGAATAAGTAAATCTGTGGTCTAGATGATCAAATTTAATTATAAGGTTCCATTTTTGCAATTATGGATGTCAGTTTTGTGAGATGCATAAGAGATGCACAGACAAAAAATTATCTAAGAATAGAATTTATCTTGTAGAATTTCATCTATAAAATTTACTAATAAGTGGATTTCAGGCTAATGGCTTCATTTGATTTAATGAGAAATAGGTTGCACAGCAGTACAGGTAGGGGGAAAAATATTGTAAAGAGAAAAGATTACAGGCTGATTTCCATCATATTTTCTAAATGTCAGAAAGCACCAAGTTAACTGTATTGCAATTGATTGAGTTACTCTCTTGAGTTTGAAGCTAAGCTCATGTATTCTCATATGCTGAACTGGAGGCATAAAGAGTGACTTCTAAATAAGGATGGGATTTATTTACTTTTTTAAATTACATCTAAGAGTCTTGATTTGTCTAAAAACATTAGAAATCAACTTAGAGATGTATATAAAAATGTGAAGTTACAGACTCAATGCCAAGAAATACTGAAGGCCTGATTACCATTGCTCTAGTGTTGAATCAAAACTTTTACATGGATTCTTTAAAAATGGCTAAGATACTTAGGGTTTCCTTTGGGCCAGATAGAGAGACCACGATGAGTGTGCTTGTTTTCAAGTGAAAACAGATGAATTTCCAAATGAAAGCTGTTTTGTACATGTGTAAAAAGAATGTATGTTTCAATCAAGCAATTTGCATAAATATTGAATAATCCATAGCTAAATATATGAATTTGAAATTAATTGAAGATAATTATGGAACCTATCCACATGCTTCGACTATATAAACTGAGAACAAAGAATGTATAAGATAGAATCATAGAATCACTCAGGTTGGAAAAGACCTCAAATATCATCGAGTCCAACCATGACCTAACCATACTTCTCTAACAGCCCTCTGCTAAATCATGTCTCTGAGCACCACAGAAACATTTAATTCTTCTCAGTCATTATAAATCATGTGAATACATAAAAGAAAATGTGCTCTGTTTACCTAGCAAGGTCCTTTGAACTGTTCATTGGTAACTGAGTGCATTTGTTTGCACGAAATACAAGGTGGCAGTTCAGTGATGTGTTGAGAATGTCAGCATATTAAATATCTGAGCCCAGTTAATGCATAATGGAGATCTATTTCTGTGATGTACCATAACCTTTCATTTTCATTCCTTTCAGAAGGGAATCCGTATACGTGGTGGGTTGGAAAAGCCAATGAGAAGCATTACTATTGGGGTGGATCAGGACCTGGTATTCAGAAATGTGCCTGTGGAATTGAACGCAACTGTACTGATCCCAAGTACTACTGCAACTGTGATGCTGATTATAAACAATGGTGAGGATGACCAGAATCTCCTAACTTTTGCAAGTGCTGCAATTATTCTGAATGTCTTTTATTAAAATATTTCCTTCCCTACTATAGAATGCAGGAAAAATAGTATGTTTCTGAATTCTCTTACTCAAAGCATCTGCCCATATTTTCATTTTCATTTTACTCACAGTACTTGTGACCGTCAAATGTAAGGAATGTGTTTAGGTTTTCAAGTGCATTTAACTATAGAGAAGGTAGCTAAAGTTGAGAAGTCAAGTCCTAATAGGAAAGACTATCTTTTTCATTGCCTGTGCAACTTTGCCTACATGATGTTCAATTGTATTACAATATAGTATTTAATTTTGCCTCTGCAACTTCATTTTTTTCCAGCATTTCTCATTTATGGAGTAGTAATGCTGCACTTGCCTGAATAATGTGAGAGACATGAGTTCAAGTCACTCACGCAGTGACTCTAACCTTTATCCATTTTTCATCAAAAAAAAAAAAAAAACAAGAACAAGGCCTTTTATTTCAGAAGACGCTACTGCACTCTGCATGAGATAGCTAAATATTTTTTCATCTGATGATTGAGAGTACATACTTACAATATAGGTGGTATTTTTTAAATGGTATGCAATGTTCAGTGACTGACTAGACTCATGCTTCTATGAGCACTTTTCTCATTAATAGCAGCTTAAAGTCATAGAAAAATAGAATAGTAGAATGGCTTGGATTGGAAAAAACTTTAAAGATCATTCATTCAGTTCCAAACCCTCTGCCATGGGTATGGGCATCTTCTAAAAGACCAGATCTCTCAAAGCTCCGTCCAGTCTGGCTTTTAACCTCCCAGGGATGGATCATCCACAACTTCTCTGGCCAAAATTTCTAGTGTCTAATCACCTTCATAGTAAAAAAATTCTTCCTTATCATAGAATCATAGAATCATTAAGATTAAAAAAGACCACAAAAATCAGTTAGTCCGACTGTCACTCCACATGTCCACTAAACTATGACTCTAAGTGCCACACCTGTCATTTACTTGCAAACCTCTAGGGACAGGGATTCCATCACCTCACTGGGCAACTTCTTCTAATGACTCACCGCTCTTTCTGAGAAGAAAGTTCTCCACTTGTCTAACCTGAACTTTACCTGGCACAAATTAAGGCCATTATTACTAGTTAACTGGGAAAAGAGGGCAATGCCCTCCTCACTCTATCCTCCTTTCAGATGATTGTAGAGAGTGATAAGGTCTTCCCTGAGCCTCATCTTCTCCAGTCTAAACAATCCAAGTTCCCTCAGCTTTTCCAGATTTGTGTTCCATACTTATCATCAGGTTTGTTGCCTTTCTTTGGGCATGCTTGAGGGCATAAATGTCTTTCTTGTAGTGATGGGCTCAAAACTGAATACAGTACTCAAGGTAGAGCCTAATTCTATCTAATTTAACTCTACCTTGTGACTGGAACCTCCATCAGTACTCCAGGTGGAATCTCATGAATGTAAAGTAGAGAAGGAGGATCATTTCTCTTGATCTGCCAGGCATACTTGTTTTTAAGGAGCCCAGGGTGTGATTAACTTTTTTGTTCAGTGGTACATTTTCAGCTCATGTCCGGTTTTTAATCTGCCTCTGCAGGGCTACTCTCAATCCATTCATTGCCTAGTATGTATGGATGCTGCCCTGACCCAAGTGTATGACCTTGTGTTTGTCCTGTTGAAGTTCATGAGATTCACACAGGCCCAACTTTCAAGTTTGTCAAGATCCCTCTAGAGAGCAACCCTTCTTTCTAGAGCATGGGCTTCCAACTTTTTGGCTTGCCTGAGCTAAGTGGAGAAGAATTGTCTTAGGCTAATATTTTGGTTATTACTGAGTGATGAGTGCACGCCTGGGGCCAGGATGGGCCACTAGCTGGGGAGCAGCCACAATGATTGCACAGCAGCAGGGATCAAGGCGCATTACTAGCTGTACAGGGCTCCATACTGTGGATTGGATATGCCTGTTGTAGAGTACCAACTGTACCACTCAGCTTGGTGTCCTCCACAAATGTACTTGAGGGTGCACTCACTGTCAGTGTTAATGAAGATACTAAACAGTACTAGTACCTGGACAGACACCTTAGGTACCCCACTCATAAGTGGCCTTCACTTGGACATCGAGCTGCTTGGACATTGAGCGACTGTGACATTTTAAATCCTTATGCACTGATTAGTCCATCCATCATATCCTTGTCTTTCCAATTCAGACACAAAAATTTTTTGTGGAGCCTTATCAAAACCTTTGCACAAGTCCACGTAAATTATATCAGTCATTCTTCCCTTGTCCATATGTGCTATCTCTATATAAAGGAAGGCCAACAAGTTAGTCAGGCTTGATTTGCCCTTTATCAAGCCACATTAACTGCCTCCAATCACCTCCCTGTCTTCCGTATGGCTTAACATGATTACCATGCTCTGACTTGGTGCAGAGATATGACTGACTGGTGTGTATTTTCACAGGTTCTCCCTTGCTACCTTTTTAGAAATGAGCAATGTGTTTCCCCTTTTCCTGTAACTGGGGACTTATGCTAACTGCCACAAGTATTCAAAATCCAGAAAATACAACAAGGAAATTTTGTCATTACAGAATAAATTGAAGTATACTTTTAATATGAGACAGTTCAGATATTGAAGCATGAGAGTAAATTCCAATTATGAATAATCTTTTACTGAAAGAGTATTGTATTCATCCTGTACTGAATTATGCTACAGTCATCCAGAAAAAAAACAAAAACAGTGATAGATACAGAGGACAAATGAAAAACCTTTAAGCAATCTGCAATGTTTGTTTTGTCTAAAAACTTAAACTTTAACTAAACTTAGTGCCTGATTTGATTTATTTTTTTAATCTATGTGTAAGTTATTTTTTATAAGACCAGGATTGGTTATGTCCATTTTGAACTCAATTATGATACAGTATTTCTCAGGTTGCTAATTTATAACTTACTCTTGCTATATCTGGATTCTGGACAAGATTGTGCTAATGTTTTTAAAAGCTCACTATCAACTTTACACTCTCTCTGAATTGAGAAAAGAGAGAATTCTGGAAGTGGTATTGATATTTAGAGTGTGCCTTATATGTTGATTATTGGTCCTTGCTAATAGGGAGTAAATAGGTAAGTAGGACAGATAGTAGATATTGTCAAGGAATTCAAGTGTATGCATATTTGTAATCTGCATCTAAAATATTAGGTCACACTCATATTGTTGTTTCATTGTTAATATTAAGTAATTTTTCCATGGTAAAGTTTTATGGATAGAGGGCCAGGAGGGAAACTACAGGTGGGAAGAGCTTTACCCAGAACAATCCCACTGATGTGAACTTTACCCACTATTTGTGCCCAATATGAGATTAATCCAGAGAAAAGTGAATCAAATAAAATTTAAAATAGTAGTTTTACTTGCCTACAAAGATCATTTTTTAAGAGTGTGGCCACCATTCAAGTGAGAGAATAAATACTTCTGAGGTTGCTACTAGCAACAAGAAATTCCATGGTTATTTGTTAAACCAAATCTTTAATTTACACATGACTTTCTGTGGAGTTTTGTAAAAAAAAATGAGCAACAATGTCCAGGTAGACAAACTGTATCAACTGAACAGTAAATGTAAAAATCTACAAAGCATTTTGGTTCCTACTCCTTTGATCCTAAAGACAGTTGTAATATCCAGATTTTCCAAGGTTTCTATTCTACAGGCTAATTTTTCTTATGTAGCCCTGATCTGAGAAGACACGATGTGATCTTCTGGGTGTATTTACTGGGAAAATGTTTTCAATTAGAACTTCATCATGAGGATACAGTTTAGATTTCTCACTAGGGCATGTGAGAAACACGCTCAAGGTCAAAAATTTCTAATCAGTAAAGGTCTCTGTGAAGAGCAGTTTATTTATCGTTGCAGTAATGGGTGCACACCCCCTACTCACAAGGGAGAAATTGCTCAACTAGTCAGTGAGATCCATTCTGTTACATACCCTGGGTATGCAGGTAAAGCCTCTCCTGGCACTCATTGGCTGAGAGTCTCAGGCTCACAATCTTCTGAAGCTGTTGCAACACTACACTTCCATACAATGTCTGTTACCAACCCATTGTCTTTGGGTATGTTTTGTACTTTTTACGGCAATAGGAGGACAATATTTTCAACAATTAGCACACTAGTTCTGTCATGTATCAGACTCCTCCCTACCCCTACCATACCTAGTGCTTGTGCCAATTCTACCTAGGTCAGAACACCACAGTCTCAACTTTACTCTGTTCAGCAGCCTTCTTTGTGAAAGGCAAGTTATCCTATGATACATACAGAAATACTGCAAATTTCCACTGCAAAAACACAATCTACCTCTCACAGGCACAGACTGCTTTGCTGACTACTGATGTGCATGATAATGTTTCAAGAAATATTTAGTGGCCCTAAAAGATGATTAAAGTAATTAATGGAGAACTTGAAGATAATGGTCATAGAATGGCCTGGGTTGAAATGGACCACAGTCATCAACCAGTTTCAACCCCTTGCTATGTGCAGGGTTGCCAACCACCAGACTGAGCTGCCACATCCAGCCTGGCCTTGAATGCCTCCAGGGATGGGGCCTCCACAGCCTCCTTGGGCAACCTGTTCCAGTGCCTCACCACCCACTGGGTGAAAAACTTCCTCCTAATATCCAAACTAAACCTCCCCTGTCTCAGTTTAAAACCATTCCCCTTGTCCTGTCACCATCCCCCCTCACACACAGCCGTTCCCCCTCCTGTTCATACGCTCCCTTCAAATACTGGAAGGCCACAATGAGGTCTCCCCGCAGCCTTCTCTTCTCCAAACTGAACAAGCCCAGTTCCCTCAACCTTTTCTCATAGGGTGCTCCAGCCCTCTGATCATCTTAGTGCCCTCCTCTGGACCTGCTCCAGATGGCCTAAGAACAAAACATAATATTTGGGTGGTAGAAGGAGCTGAGATTCTCCTAATTATGAAGACCAGAAAGGCTGTCCCATGGGCACTCCGATCA